CATATAAGTAAAAATATGATAAAATAAAAAATATGAGAGAGGGCCTGGGCCCACACTGGTCCTTAGGTGGCTCCGCCACTGCCGATGAGCACATATTGTTGCATTCAACTATTTTTCACTCAACTTTTTCGACAACGATACGAAACCCTAAAGTCAGATTTAGTTAAGAAGGGTAGAGGTTGTGGAATAAAATGAACGTTATATCAGAAAGAAAAAAAAAACAAAAGCCCGTAAATCCCAATAGTTTTACTACTTATTTTACTGCCACAAGCCCGTGTTTAAAGTTGAGCAAGATTGAACGAACAGAATTTTAAGGGAACTCAAAAACTGTTATTTTTCTTTCCCTCTTATTTTGGCATACCAAACACCTTGCGGGCCTATTTTTCTTTCCTTTTTTTTCTGATCAACTGGAGGAGCTTGTCAAAGAGGCCCTAAACTATAAAGCAAAAGAGAAAAACCCTAACCCCTGATCACTCAAAAACGGCAAACCCTACCTCGGCGAGCAAAGTCAGCATGCGGGACCTCGCAGCAGAAGTGTTCATGGACATCCTCGCACGCCTCTCATCCAAGGACTTGGTGCGATCCACTTGCGTTTCTAAAGAATGGAAAGCTACCATCGAAGATCCACAGTTGGCCAAAACGCATCTCCAACGCTCCATCAAAACCAAATCCCATCCCACCATTTTAATTATCCCATCTAACCCGATCGTCAACTGTGTTTCAATCAACTTTTCCGACACCGATACGATGTACGGTAAACGTTTGATAATCGAGCAGCCTTGGCAACATCCTCCTCGGTTAACTAGCGACAAAATCTTCGGCTACTTTAATGGTCTGGTTTGCATGCACTATGGTGCAGGCTTTGGTTTATGGAATCCTTCCATCCAAAAGTTCAAGAGGATCCCCTCGTCGCCATTTAGTATGTTCCGGTCTGCAAAGATCCATGGTGGCTTTGGGTATGATTCGGTCAATGTTGACTATAAATTGGTGAGTTTCGTGCACTTGAATACCTTCTGCGCAGTGCACTCATATAGCTTAAAATCTGGTGCATGGAAATCAATTCAAGACTTGCCTCTCAAGGGTCTTGTATTTGACTCACATGGTGTGTTTTTAAAGCGCTCATTACATTGGTTGATGCTTCAAGAAACAGATGGTGAACGGATGTTAAATATTCTAACCTTCGATCTCGCAAGTGAGGAGTTTTGCAAGTTTCCTCTACCCGTCCGTATATTTCCTGCTCCCATATCAGATCCGGTTTGTAGGTGGCCTAGTTATTCTTTAGTAGTCGTGGGAGGGTATCTATGTATTTATCTAAGGGAGACAGAAAGTAGAGTTAAGGCTTGGATTATGAGAGAATATGGAGTGGCAGAATCTTGGAGTATGCTTTATTCTTTTGATGAGCAGGTTCACAATAGCAAGCCTTTATTGCTTTCAAGTTGTGGTAAAATGGTACTTTTGGAAGAGGACTACAGCCGTCTTGTTTGGTACGATCTACAGAATGGGACGCGCAAAATGGTTCAAAGTCCTATGACTCAATCTTTTTACACTACAATTATTTGTGAGGAGAGTATTCATCTTCTTGGAAGTTAGGAGGAGGTATCTGAAGATGTTTTGAAGTTCTTTGGAATTGGTCTTCTTTTTTTGCCAAAGTTGGGAATGGGGAGGGGGGAAACTCACACACACGGGTACTATGAGGGCTTGAATCCAGAACCGCTTGGAAGTACAACAAAGGCATGAGCCAATCCAGCTAACATCCCATTGATTGGAATTGGTCTCTTTGATTTAGGTGATATATGTACTTCAATCATATAGATGAAATGACGGTTTCTTTTCGTAAAATGTTGGATGTTGATTATTTTTCTTTTATCCAAGGACCTACTATTTTTTGGTTTTAGTATATATTAGCCTCTCCGCGCCTGTGAGAGGCTTTTTTTTAAAAAAATTTATATTTATTTTAGAATTAAAAAGATAATGGTAGTTGTGTTCCATAAAAAAAAGGATCCATTATCTTATTTTTCTTTTAATTTTAAAATTTTTTAATATGAAAAAGTGTGAATTTACCATATTATCCTCATTTAATTAATAATT